TATATATATATATGTGTATATATATATATATATGTATGTATATATGAGACTATATGGTTTTTATACTTAGAAGGAGATTCCATTTCTCCAGGTTGGTTCATTCCACACCTTTTTGTATCAGGAATTGTATTCTTGTTATTAAAATATTCACCAAATAGTCACTAAATTCTACTTATGGGACTAATCTTGCTTTCACAAATGCTCATGTAAGTTTACCAATGTATGTGCTTACCTAGAATTTGTAAGTATACTTATTTCTTTTCATACAGATATAATTTGCTTTTTCTATGAACAGTGAAGACCAGTTTCTAGCTTCTACAGATTTAACTGTGAACAAAACTCCCTCAGTTCTATGTTTCTGCCACATTAACTCTGCTCCCTGCAAGTCTTCTGTAACCAAAAGCTAACCTGAGTCCAACACACCCACCCACCCTGGATTTTTCTTTGGGTGAAGACCTGAGATTTTTAAGAACAGTATCCAACCACCTTACTCCAGCCAAGTTTTACCTCAGAAATAACTGACAAGTGTTCATAATTCCCTTAAGTACTTAGCTATGAAGTTCCGCCAGCACTTCTCTCTTGTGTAACAACACTGTGCTCTGACAAGCCATCTATTTATCAAATCTGCCCCATTAATTAAAAAAAAATAAAATTCCCAAAGCTTGTTCAGCTACCACTACCACAGTCACAGCTTGAAAATGCTGGTCATTACAAAGTTTCTAGAGCTTAGGGGAAAGATGAAGCATTTACCATACAATTGTTGCAAGTGAGGTACTAATGACAAAAAGCTGCTTTCTATGTTTCAGATGTCCAAATAAAATGTAGTAAATTCACAAGTACCTATTCCCATGATTTGGACAAGGCTGTAATGTACTGGTAAAAAACAAACAAAAAAAACCCCATTCCAAACAAACAAAAAAACCCCAGTGCAATGTTTCAAAATCTATCAACTGCAAAGAATATTCATTTGATCAAACTGGTTTAGATAATGCTGTCACTTCCAGAGTCTCGGGGTCCAAAACCAAGGAAAATGTCAACCCTTAGCTGAAATATTAGCCTGGTATTTACTGTTCATGAGCTTACAGACAGAGCACAGGGATGGAAGGGAGTTAGAAGTGGTTTGTCTCACCTCTTATATAAACAAGTCACACAACACCTCCTTGGATCAATTTCTCTTTTAAATAGAAAATAGGATGATACATACACTGGAATGGAAATGTCTGAGGAAAGCTGGTGGAGGGAAGGTCTGACTCCATGAAGAGAAATGAAGACTCTCTGTTGGTTTGTAAACAACTACTGTGTCCTCCACTTTACAGAAAAATTCACTGATGACTTTGATCATCTCCAAAAATAATTACCTCCACCTGCAACGTTTATTACTTTACCTTATTCTCCTATCACAAAAGCAATCTGAAGAAAGTAAGAATGATACCGACTAAGTACTGATTCTGAGGAACAGATCTGTGATTGTACTGAGTAATGAAAAAAAAATCATTCAAATGTATGAAAATTTAAACAATTATTCAATAATTTCTGGAGTATATCAAGATACATAACTTATAAAAATAGTCTGCAGAATTTTGTACTCTGCCAAACAATGTTTTCTGCTAATTACATGAGACTCTGACAAGACTAAGTATTTATTGTTTTCTTTCAGATAGTTGGCTATCGGTGTCACATTACCCATGCCTGGGAGAGAAGAGAGTAAACAATCACTGTAAAAAGACCATATAATCAAAATATGTACAGTGAATTACCAACCCTGAAATACAAACACAAAAAAGACAAGGCAAGAGAAAGGAGCCATGAAAACACTGATAGCAGACAGGAAGACTGTCTTTTACGAGCATTTTATCTGCTAAAGGCACTTGATATGAAACTTTTGAGGTAGCTAAATCCAATGACAAGTCCAAGTCTACTTCCACTGATGGTAAAATATAATAATAATGAATCATAAAGTTATTGTCTAAATAGGAAATACGATCACTTCAAACACTGTATTTGGAGTCTCTAGTAAAAAATGTACGTTCTTTCCAGGAAAAGTATTTCAAGCTCTGCCTAGCTTACTTTCAGCAACCCACTATCCTCCTCTCAGTATCACCACTATATGACTGATCAATAAGCAGAGACAGCTAAATGCCTTGACCAGCATTTTAGTTGCTGAGCTGAAGCAAAACTGTGACTGCTTCAATTCATTCTTTGCACCCAGTCTGTACAGCACACTGTCAGGAAACTGTATCATCCTTTTCAATCAATGGATCTTGAAGATCATGGAGTACATGGTGAGACTATAGACCATGGTGATGAAATGTGAGTGGCTCAAAACCTACAATGTCTCAGGAAGACAAATGTATTCAAGAGGATTTGTGAGGATGGAGCAGAAGACAAGGGAAAAGCAGCAAGAAGTGAAAATGTGGGGGGAAAAAAAAAAAGGAACTGAGACTATAGCACAAATCACAGAAGAGACTAAAAGCAGTGGAGGGAAGGGAGGCGAGGGGAAGAATTTCTCAGGAGTGGTACGAGAATGGTGGGAAAGAGAATGATTTACCCAGCAAGACACACCAGACATTAGTAACCTACACAGTAAAGTGAAAAGGCAAAAGTTGGCATCAAAGATACATAACAATAGATTTGGGGTTTTTTGCACCACGCGGTACATCTTTTACCATGTTTTAATGTGTTAATTCAGATGACAAATGCTCAGTGTGTGTGTGTGTGTGTGTGTGTGTATATATATATATATAAATTATACACACATAGTTTCAGTATGGTTAACATGATCCAGCTCCCATCTGGACAACATTTCCTGAGGGAACGAAGGCCAAACACCCAACCACCTCATCCTCAGCTCACAGCCTGAGGCTGCTGCCTTGTCCTGGGGGAACAGACACACCATCATGTGCACACCCAGACTGGCTGCTGGGCTTGGGGAAGTGAGTGGCATGGGGAGAGGGGAAGCATCCTTGCAGAGTTGTCTATCCAAAGATCGAAGAGAATGAATTAAAACACAGCAAATGCCTCAGGTAAGAACACATGTGCATGAGCACAGTATAAGAGGGAAGGAGGGACACACTAGAGGCTCAAGCTGCTGCTGTCACCCTCACAGCTTACAGAAGGGAACTTGGGAGAGAATTCAACTCCTATCCAAACTATATATACACCTTATTAGAGCCTTTCCTGGAAAATAAGGGGTAATTGCAGGCTTTTATGGGCTATGCTTACCTGTCAAGCTGTCAGTAAATTAATCACACAACTTTCAGCAGTCAGTATCAGTAAAGAACCTCAGGCAGTGCAAAGGACACAGTAAGACAGAAAAATCACAACTATTATGAGTGCAAGGGCAAACTGTACTATTTATTAATTTTTCTTCTAAATCTATTTTATGGCCAGACTCTACAATGAGCCATATGACAGAAATCAAGATAAAGAAATGCTTTTTAAAGCATATACCTGATTTATTACTTTGATATGTATGCTTTCTTCCTTTCTCTTCCTTTTTGTATCTTGGACTGAAATAACAGAAGTTCCTACCACAACAGTATTTAGCTGAGCAAGTCACCTAGATACTGTAGATATGTTTAGACAAACTTCTAGACAAAAGTTATAAATAAGCCTTGGAAACAGCTATTCTCATTTTTGTTCTTCAGCATGTCTCTTTGTTCTCTAAGGATGGAATGAGAGTCTAGTGCCAGTGGAAAGACAAACTGATCTATGATGGGAGCTGACATGCTCCAAAATACTATTCTGGCCTTCAGAGAAGACAAAAGGGGAAAACAAGTATGTGGAGTTGTTAGGGGGAGGGATTCTGTTTGTTTTTATGCACTGCTTTTCTAAATCCCCTCCTAAACCCCTTTCCAAACTTCCTTGGAACAAAAACTCTAGCCAAAAGTCAATATATCACTATGACCACTTTGTTGTCAGATATATACTTTCATACCTTATACTTTTAAGTATCACAAAGCTACAGAGACTTCTGAACTATGCTCTCTTGATTTTTCTCTACCTGCAGACATAATAGGAACATAGTCTTCAAATATCATTGAATATCATTGACTTTAAAAGAACTGGGTCCCAAGAAGAGTTTTCTTTGATTTCCTTTCACGATCCTGGGCATGCAGAGCCTTTTGCTGCTGCTTTCATATTTTCATCAACTCCCATTCTAAAGCTTTAGCTTCTCTTTTGTGTTCCTACTGTAGGACTCTTCCAGAATCTCACTTCTGTGAGGGTTAGAAAACTATATCCCATCTCTAGCACAGAAGCATTTGCAAATAATTCACACATTTCTCCCTCTCAGGTAGCAGATAACAGCAAAGGACCCTAGGAAAGTATAATGAAGCAAGTGCAATAATCTCCAGTACAGTCAAACTCAAGGAGCTCATTAGCTGATACTTACGGAGGGGTCACTCCTTTTGGCAGGCCTAATGCGTTGACAGAAATGGGTGGTGGCTGGGATGGCAGCATTGAGCTGAGAAAAGCTGCTGGAGACTGTCCGGAATTAGGAAATCTGGGAGTTGGAGACAGGCTGTGGGAAGGTGAAGAAAGTGAAGGAAGAGGAGGAGGTGGAGGAGGTGGAAGTGGAAAGGAATCACACACGGGATATGTTGCAGTTGGACTAAAGACAGGTGGAGGTGGGGGTGGAGGGGATGGAGAAGAAGGAGACCAGGCGTACTCCCCTTCTGGAGCAAACTGCTGAGAAAAAGGGGCAACAGGCACTCTCCCAAACTGTTTCTGAGAACCAGTTGGAGACATAGGAGAAGGAAGGCTGGATGTAGATGATCCTGAAGATGGAGTCACATAACCTGAAGCAGGGCTGATGTTCTGAGCAGCAATGAATTGCTTAGGCCGAGCATAGTTGAAGGAGCTGGAAGACTGCATGGTTGGGGAAGTATGTGAGTTAAGAATACTCATTGGCACAGGAGAGGTGACAGACTGGCTGGACTCAAGCTCCTGGAAAGAGGGGGGAGGAGGAAAGGAAGGAGAAGAGGGAGGATGCTGATGATGATCAGGTTGCTGTTGGTGACGATACCACTGTCCACTTTCTTGCTCCAGACGAATTTGGTGCTGCAGCTGCTGTATTTTTATAGGGTCCCTGTAGGAAGGAAAAATAGACAAAAAGATGATCAGACATGCAGTGCTGGTTGGGGAGGAGGAAAAAGTTCCACTGATCTATGGTCTAGGAAAATCAGAAGGCAGGGAATGTTCAAAGTATTTGAATAATGCCCTTTCTTCACAGCTAAAATTTGCTATAAAAGTCCGTTTTTTTTGATCTCAAGAAGGAGGAAAAAAGTATATGCATAATGGAACTTAAACAGAACCTTCAATTCTTAAGAAAGGTAAACTGTAAGACAAGTTAATGACACTTAGGATATTTTAAAGGAGCAATCCAGATAATCTAAGTATTGGTAAAAATGCTGAAGTTCTTAACAAGGTTTCCTTTCACTTCTTCCTTATTTTGTTCAGGAGCCCTGTTTCAATAATAACCCTCAAATATTTACCCAGTGAGTACTTCAGCTTTGCTTTCTGCTGTAGCTGCTGTGGGCTGATCAGACAGACCTAATTACTGTCATACTTTCAGTGAGGTACTTGGAGACAAGGGACCAACTTCTGTGTTAGAACCATCCATCTATCTGTAGATGAGCAAAGACTTCCAAGAAACATTTTCTAAGAAAACAGTGAACCAAGCTTCTCCATGTCTTTAGTCTCCAGGCTTTATTCTTAACTGTAGGTCCTGAGATGCAACTTAGTAGATACTGAATACATGTCTGAGAAACTGCTAATTGCAGTACTATCAAACAGAAATGAGAATTTCTTTTAAAAATACAGCAGATATTCACTAGCAGGACAATAAAGACTGAAAAACTAACATGCAGGAGACTCAAAACTGTTAATGAAGTAAAAAATTTAAAAAACCAACCATGCAAAACATTCAGCAGTGAAGCAAACCATACTGCACTGGCTTCTTTGGCTTCTTTTTTTTTTGGTCCACAATACAGTGTTTGAATGACACCAAGATCAAAATTAACTGTGTGGTCTATCATCTTAAAATATATCAGACTGACTTGCTTAAAAATTGTCATGTTCCAGATGGAAATCATAACTTTATCGCAATACTCCAGATGTCCACAAAGTTTCAGCATATGCACATATACCTTTTCTGTATATAATAAAGTATATATTAAATATACAAGTGTGTCATTGTTTATATATAATTTAGGTTATTTAAGCAGAAATTTTAGAAGCTGTCTGCTTAATGCATGGCATATGATGATGATTCTGGCACAACAATATACTTTTCTTGGTAGCGACAAAATTAGAAATGGTAGTATCATCATATTTTCCACTCTAAGATTAATTTTGATATTCCAACCATCCACATTTCCCAGAAAATGTTTTCTGACAAAAATTCTGCTTATGATCTCAGGCCAAAGGAGACTGTTTAGATAAGAAAAGGGGAGCAAGCTTGTTTAGGATAGAAAACTGAGAAATCAGTTATTTACATTTAATAGTTGCTTTTTTCTTTTCTGTCATAAAGATGGTTCAGTGATGACATCAGTCATCTCATCAACAATACATATTTCAGTACTTAAAAAGAGATTGCATTTTCCTTTTTAATTAAATCAGCAACAAGAACATCAAAATGTTGCAGTTCACTTGTAAATTTTTTTTTTTTTTTAAATGTTGACAATAGAGACTCTAAATCCCTATCAGTTCAATTTTCACTCCACAGGACATGGGATGAACCTTATTCTTCAATCTTTGCTAAATTATATAAAAGCCTCCTTTCCCTAAATAGGCTAAAGCAACACAGTTTGAGTTCCCATCATCATCTGACTTTCTTGGCTGATGATAGAAATACTTCAGATTACCTTTGACTGGAAAGAGAAAGTCCTGTAAGATTACTACTTTCAGCTCATTCTGTATCTTTAGTCTGACTATTTGCAAGCCTACTGTCCAAGATCTCTAAATTATTTATAAAATAATACTTATGTTATTTTCCATCATAATCACCACCAATATTTTTTAATTTATTACAGAGACACTGTTAGAAAAAAAAAATGTGTGAAACTTTGCACTGGAAATGGTGTGTTGAAGATAGAAGGAACGTAGCTGTTTCCAACACTCCTATGTTTACCCAACATGCCCTGAAAGCAAGTCAGAGTGTCTTGTCTTGAGACTATTTTATTTTCATTGCCAAGTCACATGGCGATGTGCCCAGCCAACAGCATAACAGAAATGACCATCTATGGCCCTGTCAATGGTAAGTATACTACAGTGCCTGTCACTGAACTGCTGCTGTACCAATCCAGGCAAGAGTAAAGACCAGATTCAGGGTTATGTCTACAAAAGGCTGACAGGCAACCTTGAGGTTGCTCTGCTCTCACACTAAGCCTGACTTGAAACCACAGGAATATATGTGCCTGTGAGACAGGGTTTATTAGCCCAGAACAGCACTAATTCCACTTGCAAAGCTTTTGGTCAGTTTAGGGTCCAGACAAAGCAATAGCATGTCTGATTGAAAAAGAACATGCAGACATTATCACATCAGTTCACGTAGCAAAAAACATAAAGCCCTTCTTAGAGCAAATTTTCATTCCAGTGGTAGAAATGCATGATCCTTGTCTGCAAAAGAGCGTTCTCTACCTCAAAGCTATTCTTTTAACAGCAGATACTGCCCTAATACTTATTAATTTCTTGAGCAGATATATCTTAGGGATGTGTCAATATGAAGAAAAGAAAAAGAATAATCAATTCACATGTTCCTTTGCAGTGACACTGACAGCAGTGGAATCTCTACATAGTAGGTCCCTCAGAGATAACACTGCTGTGCCACAGATACAGAGCCCAGCACTCAAAATTATGCAAGGGAATCAGTCTGTTATGTTGTGCCCATCAGGGAAACAAAGAAGGGAATTAAGAAGAGTTCAGTCTTTGGATAAGATTACAGGAAAAATTAGTTTAATTGTAATTACATCCTCTTTCCAATTAGCTGAAATATGTTTTGTAATCCCAGTGTTTTAAAGGGCACACATGCTTCCATGGAACGCATCAAGGTTTTTTAAACAACAGGGAATAAAACTTAATTTCTCATGCAGAGTTTTAGGTTTTGCCAAGTAATTAATTACAACAATGTAAGAATGAACATTTAAAAGTAGATTTACAGTAAAATTCAATCACTGAATGGCAAAAGTAGGTAATTGAAAAAATCAGAACTAGGGTAAAGTGAATATCGAGAAATTTCAGCAACTCACTGAAAAGCAGACCTAGTAGTACATAAGTATTTTCAAAAGGACTGCTTCAGTATTTGTGATTTTTTTTTCAGCATCAGATATTCTAAACCAGGATTTTTATATACATTTTCAGATGTTCTAATAGGTATGCTAAAACAGTTGAAGAAAGACAAACAGTAAAGCAGTAATATATTAATGGCAGCAGACATTAGTTGTGCCAGAGTTGAAGTTTCTGGCCTGCACTGCCTGTAACAACAGTTGCATGCACAGATTTGGTTCTGGGCACTTGGAACCTGCTCAGTAAGGTGATGACTTCACAGAATCGTCTAGGTTGGAAAAGACCTTGAAAATCGTCCAGTCCAACCATTAACCTAACACCGACCGTTCTCAACTACACCATATCCGTAAGTGCTATGTCGATCTGACTCTTAAACACCTGCAGGGATGGGGAGTCCACAACTGTCCTGGGCAGCCCATTCCAACACCTAACAAACCGATCTGTAAAGAAATGCTTCCTAATATCCAGTCTAAACCTTCCCTGGTGCAACTTGAGGCCATTCCCTCTTGTCCTATCACTTGTTACTTGGTTAAAGAGGCTCATCCCCAGCTCTCTGCACCCTCCTTTCAGGGAGCTGTAGAGGGCGATGAGGTCTCCCCTCAGCCTCCTCTTCTGCAGACTAAACACCCCCAGTTCCCTCAGCCGCTCCCCGTACGACCTGTGCTCCAGACCCTGCACCAGCTCCGTTGCCCTTCTTTGGACAAAGACTTTCAGAACGAAGTGATAGTGAGAAACATTTGAAAACAGCTGTTCAAAGGGAAGACTAGAGACATTATGTTTCTTGGTGGACAGCTACAGAGTACTATCTTTTTGAAAGCAAACCACTCTGATTGTATAAGAAAATAGTGGACGGTGATGATCAGAATCTTATCTAATGATGTTAATACATATGGTGTATTTTAATAGTTACTCAAGAATTCATGTTCTGAGGTATGCACTTAGTTTTGATTGTAGTAGGCTGTTTTATCTTTTTATCCCATTTTAATAATGTTTTTTTTATTTCTGGTACCTCCTTTGTATCACACAGAGCAGTCCTTGGGAACCGTAACTCCAAGTGCTATGGACACAGTGCTATGGAGAAGGGGAGATAGGTGGTTGTGCATCTTTGAATAGGAACTGGCTACTGGACTGCAGAGGACATTACAGCAGATGGTATTTTCAGGGATGCAGTAAGTCCTGCATACTGAAAGTTCTCTGTCAGACTCATTCACGGGTTCCCAATATTAGGGTATGTACCAGATTTATTTTTATCTTATGTTTCTGTGTTTGTGAAGGGCATTAAAAAAATTTATTAAGAGGAGCAATGCCCCTCTTTTGGGAAGCACCCTACTATTTGAAGTTTAATCACTGACTTTTCAGTATAACCTCTGGTCTGTGTACTTTTTAAACACAAAGGTTCATATGGAAGCCATTCTAACCAGACTATATATCTTGGAGAGGGAGGCTCTCTAAAGGTAGGGAGATGCTGTCCAAGCCTAGAGGGAATCAGTCATACACAAAATGAACCCTATCCAGCTAGTGCCTACCACAAAGTGTGGTAAAGGCATTGAAATTCATTCAGTGTTTTACAACACAATGTACAAAATAGATTGAAATAAACCACCACAGATAAAGAACCAAGATTAAATTAATTTTTCTGTTATAACTTTTTTAAATTCCTGATTTTCGCCATCCTGATCTTAAAAAAAGAAAAGGAGCAAATGGGAAGCAGACAAGGAAAGCAATTTTTTGAAAGAAAGAGTCCTCTCTATCTCATGTATGGAAGAATAATGGGCTCACTTCTGCCTCAGGTCATTCCTGAGTGAAAGCAGACTGGCCCCTTCACAATCCTACCAGCAATCTGCCCTTTGAGAAACAGACAGGGCAGTTCTACAGCAATATAGGAAACATACCTCCAAAATGAAAGTACAGGAATATTATAAATGAAAATAATCAGAATTAACCACAACTGTAAAAGCTTGAGCTAGTTTTCTAAATTAAGATTTGAAGCCAATGCCAGAAAACCTCTGTATTTGTATTTTTGGGTAACAACTACTCACCTCCATGGAATCTACCTTCCAATGAAGGCATAGCTTCTAACTCAGTCCTACTGCTTCAGAATCATGTCAGAGCTCTACCAAAAGGGGAACAGTCATCATCATGCTGTATTAAAATACAAGGGCTCTTCTTAGGTAACAGACTTCCATGTCAGCAAGTGTCTCTGTTTAGATATATTTTTATATGTATATATTTAGATTTATTCATATCTATACTTAGATATTTATACAATAAAATCCAGGATGAAATATTTTTCATAATTTATTAATATTGAGGTGTATAACATAGAGTTATATCTCTCTAGCTACTTGGTGGCCCAGCTGGATAGCTGGTAGGTAAAGAAGGAATGAAGAACTGAAGTGGTGGGAGCTTGGAGGCTGCTGTGGTTCCCTCACTAGAGATTTACAGTGCTTCTGCATCTGTGACTCTTAAGCAGCTGGCAAAGCAGACTTGCCAGGTAGCTATTAAGGTAGCTCTTAAACAGAGTTTACTCTGCTTTCTACAACCACAACATTCATAGTTTACTGGTATAAATGGTACTGTTGAAAATGAGTAATTTTCTAAAGTCCTTCTGACAGTTACTATTTAAGAGAAATGCACATACCAACTCATCCAAAATTTGACAGTAGTCACTGATATCTGGAATTATACTCTGACAAAATTCATAACATAATTTAAGGTTTTCCACCAGATTTATCAATGGTTGAGAGTTGTTAAAAATGTAAACAACTATTCAAGTTAGCAGTGAATTAATTAACAGCTGTACTGAAAATAAATACTCAGAATACAAAAGTAATTCCAACTAAACTGTTCACTGAAGGAATATTTATTCATTTTAAGAAATTTTTTTAAATGTACATGTATGACAAGGCAAGAAAGTGAAGTAAAGGGAGAACAGATGCCCCTTTTCAGAAAAACTGCAAAGCATTTAACAGAGACAGCCTTCAGGCTGTATTAATACAAATATGTGTACTCAAGCATTAAGTTTCCTGATGCAGAACAATCCCTTATATTGTGAGAAAAATATGTGGACTGTTTTAAATCCTGCAAGGGTTCACATTTATGTAATACTGGAATTATTAGTTAAAATAAAAACAGAGGGGGGCGGGTAACAAAAACCAACACCAGTTTGGGTTCTACCCTGCAAACATTCAGGGATAGTTTTTGTCTATACTAACAGATTTCAGGGAGGATGAAGGTTGTCACTACAATTTAATCCTCATGCTGAGTAACTGGAGAGCTATAACTACGAACCATCTCCATCAGCTGCAACCTTTCAATGTTTTTATTACTTGCCCTTCAAAGCCTAACAGTTTGAAAATGCAAATTCACCACAAATAACATTTTCCACATTTCAGGTTAATATACAGGAGTGTGTTTAAGTATCACTGTAACCTAATGCACACTCAGGAAAGTCAATATGGTGCAAGAGCTAACACACGTACTTGTATTATGAGCACATTACGAAACTGAGCTTGACTTTTAATTTGAGAAACTTCATACACACAGAAGAGAAACATAAACCATCTGCATTGTATCTGCATTGGTTTTGAACTCTCTTATAAGGAAATCCTGCTGTGATTTGGTTGTTAAAAATTTTTCTGTCTATCCTAAGAAGTGGCAGTTGTGCCCATTTTCCATTATGGTTTGTCAATGGCATCAAGGTAATTCCTGTACCAAGGAAACCAACAGTAGTGATAGAGCCAGTATGCAGAGAACACAAGCAATTCTTTTAGAGACAGGAACCATTTTTCATCTCTTTATATCACTGCAGGGACATTTTTAAAAACATGCACCAGTGAGATAACACGTTTAGCTTGGGTACAGAAAGAGAGGAAATTGTGCTCTTGTGTGCATTCATTGTTCCCAAAAGTCATAAAGATACAATACAGCTTTAGCAAAAAGGCTAAACTTCATACCTCTGGTAGGGTTAGATCATAAGAATTAGTCTGGTAGTCAAAAACCTGTCTGGCTTGGTAATTCAATAGTGTTACATAAGTAGTGCACAGAATATCCAGTGATGGATGTAACAGTTAAAAATGACTCGGCTGACAAGTTTTACTGGTAAAATGAAGCAAAAAGTGTTATGTTATTAAGAAGTAAATTGTAACAAGGCATTAATAGCAACACAGGTTCCAATTTACAGAATAATTAGCCCAAAAATAATGACCTGGAATGCAGGAATGAAATGGCCTGCAAATACACAAATAGATCTTCTGCCTCTAATTGTGCTATACCACATGAAAGGTTATATTCTGTGCTAACTGTACATATTCAAAGAAAATATGATGGGGAAAAAAAAAAAATCATCAAATTCTGAAAAAATGTAGCAGCCTAAACCCAAAAATGAACAGAAGAAAAGATGGGACAGCCACTCTTCTACATGTAATATGATACACTTTCTCAGTGCTGTCACTGGAACAGCACACATACAGTTTGGTTGTTTGGTTTTTTTTTTTAATTTAATACATTTTATTAATAAGATGCTCTATAAATCATCACAGTTCATCTACCACTAGCCACCAAATTTAGGAGAATTGTTTATTTTTACGCCTACCCACCAACAATTTCAGTGGGCTTAAAACTGGACCTCCATGCTTTCAGTATTAACATTCCAGTATCTGTCAAGTGACTATTCTTTGGGTTAAAAGATAACTGCTTCATGCTATTGAAATACATACTTTCCTGAGAGAGAATGAACATCACATTAAAAAGAAAAAAACAGCGTAGCTACTGGATGCCCTGATATTAAAGGGAGCACACAGTTGATGTCAGTGTGTTTTTAGGAAAATAAAAACTTTATGTTTTAAAACAACTTGAAGAAATTAAGGTAGTTTTAGGAGCCTAAATTCTAGGCCCTTTTACCATCCATTCTGTATTCACAAACAGTTCTGATATTTCAGTATATCACTGCTTCATGTAAAGCTTGGATATTACCAGCTGACACATCAGTAGTCTGTTACTGAAACTCACTGGAGGTATCCTGTTCTTAAAATACCATACTTAAAGGAACCACCAGAAAGGAAATCAATACATAAACCTTGGTTTTTATACGAAATAAATATCTGAGACTCTCCCACGATGACAATATGACTGACTTGCTTTAGGTGCCAGCACCATATTAGTACCATAAAATTTTAGTACTATACACACAAAAATAATCCCATTAACAACACACACTAACTATTATGGAAGGAGGAGAAGCACAAGGAAGTAACAGCAACTGCTAAAGACAGTAATAATTTTCAGCCTGGTTCTTAAGAGCCTTGGAAAGTGAAAATAACGCTATGGCATTACTCACAAATTTTATTACATTTATTCAACCAGTGTAATCCTAATGCAATTACATCTTATGCTCAATGCAGTGCAGGATGCTATATCTGTCTCATGCAATCTTGGTAATCTCAATGAAAATTATGGCAGTGAAAAAAAAGATACTTAAGACAAATAGCATGTAGTCACGCTGCATGCTGCAAACCTCCTAGAGTATCTGAAGTTACTGCTGTATTAGGGATTGGTATCATCCAGAGACATCTGTAGTTCTATTGGGAGAATTCTTTTTATCAGATGTCCTCTTAGCCTTTTAAAAGCACTGGAGAAGCCCACCTCGTAAATTAAATGAAGAAACAACAACCTTTCACTGATTCTCTGCCATCGTTCCCTTGTACCTGAAAACAAATAACTACCTCCATGTTACATAGCTGCTTGGCTCCAGCTGCAGTTAAGAGTTTGTTCAGGTATGAACAAACTGTTTCAACTCTCTTCCCCAGTCAGTCTAGCTGATAGACAAAGTTATGGTTAAGTGAAATACTCACTTTGTTGCAAAGAAACTGAATATAAAAAGTAGCTGGTGTCCTCAGTGTTTGCACGCATTGCATCACTGCACATAAATATTTCTGCAAAGAGTTGGCCAATGCTCAATTTATTCATGCCCAGCGGACTCTTTGTGGGCTACACTTGTCACAGACCAGAATGAAAAATCCAACACACTCCAGCAAAACAGCAACAGCAGAATATTAGTAAAGTGAAAACACTTGACAGTGTGGCACTTGTACCTTATGTCAGATACTGCATTTAGAAGACCAAAAAAACCTCTTTGTAGACTTGGCTGTAACAGTAAACAACTTTATCTGCTCATGTACACTGATAACATCATTTTGGTTTATAGCATTCTTTTTCCTATCAGCAACTTGCATTGATTTCACTCAAACCTGCCTGATGAATACTTCTGTGACCTATTTAGTATCAGGAACAATCTTTTAAGATACGGATCTCCATTCACCTTGATGGACTAATTCTGAAAATAAACTAGAGTTTGTAGAGCACTGCCACTTCTTATCTAGCCAGAAATGTACTTCAGAAGTGTGAGTTTTGGGGTTGTTTTTTTTGGTTTTTAAAAGGCATCTCCCCCAAAGTATAAGAGACAAGAAAATTTACGATACTCAAAACGTTTCTAAAGCACCCTTAGATATGCAGAGCTACTGCTTATTACAACTGCATTATAAACATAACAAAAATATCTTAGGCAAATCCTAAGGACCAAGTAGACTTATTCTATGACTGAATTCTACACCTCACTGTAACTTCCCCATTGCTTGTTAAACAAAAAATGTATCCCTATCAGCAGAATTAATGACCAAGGCAAAATCCACCCACAGTAAACAGATGTCACCCCTGTCAAAACATACTTTTAAATATGCAGAATATATTCTGTTCCTGAACAGACCTGACCATAACTAATTATATCTCTATCATCTCAGAGAGAACCAATTTATCCTGAAATATTCACATTTGGACACAGACACTTAACTTGAATTAGTTTCTTGTGCTGGCAACACATAACTTTAAATAGTATTTCCCTGGTAAATAGATGAAGTGATTCTACATTGACAGTTTAACATTTGTTTGACTAACTGTGCAGCGCATTGTTCTGAAGTTTAAATGGAACACCTTACATATAAATGACAGAGCAAATAACTGCTTTTGTACTTTTGAGTGAAAATACATTCACTTCAAGTACTATTTATTTCTTAATATATCAAGTAACCTTGAGTATGGGAGACTTATACAGAAAGAACTTCTTCCTTGAATTAAGCCTAAGTGCCATAAAAATAGCATAATGCCATAAAAAAAGAAGGAATCATACAGGTAAATTTTGTAATGATAAACACTTGCTATGGCCAAATACCATGCCAGAGATTCTGAATGGCTGGTTCCTTCTCTAGAACTGTTTTGAATATTTCTTAGTCCTCATTGAGAGGAGTCAGCCTTCCTACCCAGAGAAAACAAGTAGAAGGACCAAGTTTCATTCTTCCCAAATACATTAGTAACCAACATGGTGACTGGGCAAAAACAAGGAACTGCATAGACTAGCACTTCTCCTAAGAGGACAGTAAGGACACATCTGCATTTGTGCTTTAGCTTGGATCAGAAATGTGCTTTTGAAGCACATGTCCAACTACCCCGCTTGCTTTTTCTCCAGTTTGCATCCTGGAGAAGCCTCTCAAGAACATGAACTGGTTTCCTGTCGGGTGGAATCAATGTAGCAAACTCCAGGCACTAATGGGCTTCTGAGAACAGACTAGAGCTAGTCCAAAGTGTAAAAGTAAAACCTCAAACTCAGTGATGCTGAAACGTGTAGTGTAGATAGCATGCCCTCAGCATGTTTTTTTACACTACAGAGCCATTCATGTTTCAGTGTACTACTCGCTAATGTAGGCTATACATACAGGGTAGATGTACAGACTACCATGAGGTGTCTAGCTAAACCATACAGTCTCGAAGGCTTTAAAAATAAGTGCATATATCACAAGAGATTCTGGCTTTATATTTTGTGTAAGTCTCAATTTCTGGGAAGTGAAATACATATCTTGCTAAACAAATATGCTGAAAATATTTTCATTTAATTTACAGGGTTTCTTGAAACACTTTTTTAAGTGTACAGCAAATCGTTGTCTAATGTATTTTAAAACAGGGTACCATACATATTATTTTAACATTTACACATTCAGAGACCATGCTTGGACCCATCCCAGACAGCAATTTTTCTACTTTTTATGTTGTAGTACAGATTTTACTATTTGATTGCTGGCAGCTGACCTTCAAAATTCAATTAATTCCATTCCTTCCTTCTGCCCCTCAGTAAAAACCTCCCAGACAAAACAAACATGTCTTGTTTGTCTTTAGGCGATAGCAGGGTAGTTTGTAAAAAGCTAGTTACAAAGAAAAGTGTATTCCTCAAGATTTAAACCCATTTTGTCTGACAATTATGAAGGACATTCCCTCTTTATGGACTCATTATTTTGATGACTCATGTACCTTCTTAGTCTGGAGGCGGACACTCCTGGAGAAAGAATATTGGCCTAGAAACAACACTTGTCTGATTTGAGGGTCCCAAGTTATATTCCCCCATATTTATTTATTAAGATTAATGTTTAAATGAACATTCCAGATGGATGATGAGAAGGGTGGTTTATCTATTCCTACAGTGAAAGTCAATTTAGTTTATCTTCACCAATAGCAGTTTATGTTTTGTCCTTATTGAAAATAGTTTTTACATTGAATAGTTAGTAGTGTGCACAATATATGCAAGTTGTTTCCTTAACATAACTAGAGTACTTAGATTACATTTGAAAACTACTGGTAAATCACTGTTAGTAAACTGAAATTTCAAAAATAATGAATTGTTTCCATTATTTTAAGTGCTATTAAGATGTGAAAGTAGCAATACGAGTAAGGAAAAATCTCAAGTATCACAACTTGGACTCCAAGCTATCTTTTACCTCACAAATAGCTGAGATCGAAAAAATAAAAATCTTATCTGGCTGTGGTTTAATAAACAACCTCTAGCTCCATATCAAAAATGTAATTTTGGACTTGTAAGTTACTTCAAAGACAGGGATTTTGTCAATACCAGAACTGGTAGCACTACAGTCAGCATCAGCATGGCTCATATGGTTCTTCCTGTACGAACCATGAGATTTCACATGATCCTCTGCTCCTCTCAGCAATACTCAGATCACAGTACAATGCTGGTCTGTCTTCAATTTTTCTTCTCACTGATCTCCCTCTTTCTACCTGCTACCACCTCATCTGTCTCCTTGACTCTTCTCTTGGGCTACCAGCACCTCTTCACCACCCTCTGTGAGCTCCAAATGCAATGCCTAGGGTGTATTATACCAAAATTCATTACTTTACCTTTTACCTTACTTCATATGCTAGCTTCTCTAGAAAAGCATGCTTCACTCTTCAGGAAACACTGGCCTAAACTACCCTCGGCTATTACAGTTTTCTACTGTGAACTAAAGGATAGTTATTCTAGGTGTTATATCCTGCATGATCCTTGTGTCTCTGGGCCAGTTTACTAAAGCTACTCTGTAGTCACAAATCAAACTTACACAGTACATTGATCCTGTTTCTCATTTGAAGCATCCCTCTGTTGCTTTTCCATTTCAGGGAGAAACCTTAAACACAGCACTAAACAGAAGTGTTACTCAGTAACAAAAGTGTCTGGATTATCTGAGGTCAGCTAATTGATTAGACAATTCATACACAATACAATGATAATTTTTTACAGAACAAGGAATGATTAAATGAAAGTCAAAAAGCTACAGACACGTTTTAAAATAAGCTCTATGTAATTTTTGTCATAGAGGGCAAAATAATGGAAAAACATTTAAGTTCTCTGACTAGTTGTGCTATGTATCAGCAAAAGTGAGTATGCAGATTTACAGAAAACTGAGCTGCTTAGTACTTTTGTTTGAA